GTTCTGGTTCCGTGAAAAATGCCACTGGTATTTTGATGGAGATTGTATAGGATTTGTAGAGAATTTTGGGTCATATGGACATTTTAACAACATTAATTCTTCCAATCCATGTGCATGGGATATCTTTGCATTTATTTGTGTCATCTTTGATTTCTTTCACCAGTGTCTTTTTTTTAAGATTTATTTATTTGAGAGAGAGAGTGAGTGAGCATGAATGGTGGGGGAGGGGCAGCAGGAGAGGGAGAAGCAGACTCCCCACTGAGCAGGGAGTCTGACTCTGGACTCGATCTCGGGACCCTGGGATCTGAGCCGAAGGCAGACGCTTAACCGACTGAACCGCCAGGTGCCCCATTTCACCAGTGTCTTATAATTTTCAGAGTACAGGTCTTTCACCTCCTTGGTATTTATTCATAGATATTTTATTCTTTTTGATGCAATTGTAAATGGGATTTTTTTCTCTTAATTTGTCTTTCTGATAGCTCATTATTAGTGTATAGAAACACAACTGATTTGTGTATGTTAATTTTATATCCTGCAACTTTACTGATTCATTTATTAGTTCTAATAATTGTTTGGTGGAGTCTTTAGGGATTTTTTTAATATATAGTATCATGTTATCTGCAAAGAGTGACAGTTTTACTTCTTCCTTTCCAATTTGGGTACCTTTTATTTCTTTTTTCTTGACTAATTGCTCTGGCTAGAACTTCTATGTCGAATAGAGGTGGTGAGAGTGGACATCCTTGTCTTGTTCCTGATCTTAGAGGAAAAGCTCTCATCCTTTCACCACTGAGTATGGTGTCAGCTATGGGTTTGTCATATGTGGCCTTTATTACGTTGAGGTATGTTCCTTCTGCATCCACGTTGCTGAGAGTTTTTATCATGAATGGATGTTGAATTTTGTCAAATGCTTTTTCTGCATTTGTTGAGATGATCATGTACTTTTATCCTTTGTTTTGTTAATGTGGTGTACCATGTTGATTGACTTGCAGATGTTGAAGTGTCCCTGCATCCCTAGGATAAATCCCAAATGATGATGGTGTATGATCCTTTTATTTTTTTTAATTTTTTTTAAGATTTTATTTGTTTATTTGACAGAAAGATAGTGAGAGCAGAGACACAAGCAAGGGAGAGTGGGAGAGGGAGAAGCAGGCTTCCCGCTGAGCAGGGAACCCGATGCGGGCCTCGATCCAGGACCCCGAGATCATGACCTGAGCCGAAGGCAGACGCCCAACGACTGAGCCACCCAGGGGCCCCGGTGTATGGTCCTTTTAATGTATTGTTGACTGACTTTGGATTTTGTGGTTTGAGATATTTGTGGGGTTTTGTGGGGCTGGCGACAGGGACCTGTCTGCAGTGCTTAGGCCTTTGGGGCTGGGGGTGTGAGGGTTCATCATCAGGAAGTCATCAAGCTGACTCAGCTTCCTCCACGAAGAGGAAGCATCGTGGCCATGTCCTCAGTGGGTTTAGTCCCGCCTTCAGAGCCTGCTTCCTGGTAAAAAGTTGACATTTGCTCGGAGCGTATGGTCTACGCTCTAGAACAGTGGTTCTCAGACTGTGGCGTCCAGACCAGCGGCACCAGCAGCATCTGGCAACGCTCAGGCCCAAATCCTCAGGCCCACCCCAGACCTACAGAATCTGAAACTCTGGGGCTGGGGCTCAACATTGGCGTTTCTAGCAAAATCTCAGGTGATACTCCTGGTGCAGGGACCGTACTTTGAGAACCACTGGCCTAGACAAGCTAGAAGTCCCCTCCCCCTTCAGGGATGGCTCAGCATTGGCACTAGAGAGACCAGCTGGCAATGGTCAGGACTTACAAGAAGCTCTCTCTCTGGGAGAAGATAAATGCTTCTCCTGAGACAGAGAAATGAGGCGCCAGGGCAAACCTCCTCAGGGTCATGGCAGGGCCTTGGCAACCTGCGTGGAGTGACCAGGAAGGTCTCTGTCTTTTTGCAGGTGGGTGACCCTGGGCAGGTACCCCACGTCTCACACTCTCAGCGTGCCCATTGGGGAAGTGGCTTTACGTCTACCTCAGTTGGTTTGAGGATCGAGGAGTCACCACACGCTGGCATAGGTAGGGCTGCCTATAGACACATAGTAGGGCTGCATGTACGCCCCTCTCCCTGCCCACGGCAACACCGGCTTCCACTGCCTGCCCCGTCTCCTGCCACCTCACACACGATATAGGCCCCAAAGTTGTTCCCCAGGCTGGGAGATCAGGGACCTTGTTTAGTATGAAATGTCCCACATGAGAAATGTGGAGGTCACCTCTCTTCTCTTGCATTTCTCTCCCCTCCCAAGACCATCTCCATTTAATGCAAAACACAGCCTCCCTTCCACCCAAAACCCACGTCGGCCGGGTAGAAAATGTCTCTCGCTTGCTGCCAGGAGAAAGTCCCAAATCTGCAGCCAGGTCCTGCCGGCCCCGGGCTCTCTCCGCCCTGGCGTGGGGGCCCCGTGTGCGGCCCTGCCAGGCCGCCGCCGCCGGGCAGCCCCTCTCATGATAAATTGGACCGGCGGTCTAGACAGTACGTGATTGTCTCTGTGTCTCACCGCGAGGGAGGGCAGATGACGTCAGCGGCCTTGTGTTGGGGGCGGGCCCGGTACCAGGCAGCCAGGGCCAGTCACGAGTCACGGGACGGGAGGAAGGCTCTTCCACCCACAGCCAGCGTTCCCTGTCGGGTGACATCCCCCTCTGCAGGGAGGCTGGTGACCGGGATGGGGCGTGGAGCCGGCCCCGAGGAAACGGCAGTATCCATCTGGCCAGGGGAAGGGAAGACACCCCAGCAGGGCCTCTTTCTCGCCTCCAGGGGAGCTGCCTGGGATAGAGCTTCTGTCTTCACCTGGGGCCATTCTGCAGCCCCGATTCACTGTGAACCAGAGCCTGAGCGTGATTACACAAGACTCCCCTTTTTAAAAAACAAAAACAGCTCCCCCTTAACCCCTCACCTCTCCTGAGAGCCTTCCTTCCGGCACAGCTGGGCTTCTCAAAAGAGCTGCCTGTTCTCGCTGTCTCCACCAGGGACCCCTGAATGGCAGGGACCCCTGAATGGCTAGCTGTCCAGGGTCCGTGTCCCTCCTCACCTCCCTGGAATGCTCGGACACATCTGGCACAGCTGACCGACTGTCTCAACTTCCATCACTCGCCTGGCTGTCCTCCAACCTCTCTACTTCTTCTCGGCCCCTCCCTCTCCCCCTTCTGTGTCGCGGGCTCCAGCGCCCTGTCGTTTCCTCGCTGCTCTTCTCGCTCAGGGCGATTTCCTCGGGGAATTACATCTGTCCCCTGGCCTCCACCTACACTCTTGTGCAAACAAAGTCCAAACCGGGCCTGGCGCAGACCTCCTCTCGGAGCTCCTGACCTTTTTATCCGGCTGCCCACTCAGCACTCCCCTTGGCTGTTCCACAGGCGCCTCAAACCCAGCACGCGGAAAACCTAGCTGATGAGCTGCCCCAAACCTCCCCTCTGCCCATGCTCCCCTCCCTTGAGAGGTGTCCACCGATTACAGAAAATTATAGGAGCAGATGAGAAGCTGGAAATACAGAAAAAAGAACTCAAATTTCCATAGTCCCAGCATGCAGAGCAGCTACTTGCTGTCTGGATGTACTGACTTCTAGTCTTTCTATGCTTTTAGTATCTGGTTTCCCCACCTAACACTTTAACATAAGGATGCGCCTGCTATTACCAATTCTGCGTAACTTACTTTAAAATTGTTTGGAGGGGCGCCTGGGTGGGTCAGTCAGTTAAGCGTCTGCCTTCGGCTCAGGTCATGATCCCAGGGTCCAGGGATCGAGTCCCGCGTCGGGCTCCCTGCTCAGTGGGGAGTCTGCTTCTCCCTCTCGCTCTGCTGCTCCCCTCCCCTGCTCATGCTCTCTCTCTCTCTCTCCCTCAAATAAATAAATAAAATTCTTCAAAAAAAAGAAAACATTAAAATTTAAAAAATAAAACAGTTTGGAACAGATAGCACCTTCTAATAGTACAAAAGGGGACGTTGTAGAAAGTAAGTCTGCCTCCCACACCGACCCCTGCCAACTGGTTCCTGCCCCAAGGCCACTGCCCTCCTTTGCAGAGCCTTTTAACAACACTTTGTGCCCACACAATGCCGTTCCCACCCTTCCCTGCACATAGACCAGCACAGCATACACCTGTCGACACCTGCCCCTTTCCCATTTGAGAAGCTGCCTTGGAAATCATTGCCTCACGGCCCGCGCGAGCCTCCTCCCTCTCGTTTCCAGGCTCTCCATGCACTGCTCCCTGGTCATCCGTGGTTAGGAAATTGGTGGTCCCCTGACAGACGTCTGAGTGGTTGGCCGTCGTTGCTATTGTCCGTCAGACTGCAGTGGAGATGCGCTGGAGCGGGGGCGCCAGGGCCCCGGCCAGGAGGAAGGGATGTGAGGACAGTTTTGAAGGAAGAATCGATGAGGCCTGGAGTAGGCAGAGAGGTGACAAGCCTGGTAACAGGAAACCAGGTGACGGGACTGCAGGGCCCCCACGAGTCTAGTTCTGAGCTCATTGGTCCTGAGCTCATTGGTCCAATACTAGAGAGATGCAGGCCCAAACCTTCGGCGGGGAGGTTAAGGCCAGAGGCCTGGGCTTGGGACTGAGCTCAGGAAGGAGGAGCAACGCTGTGCAAGGTGCTAGGCCCTGAGCCAGCTCCTTTACTCCTCACGGTGATGTGAGAAGTCGGCATGATCCCCACTTTACAGACGAGGGGATAAAAAGTGGTGGGCTCCAGTCCTGCATCTCTGCCAAGGCACAGGCCTCCTCTGTGGGCGGGAGGAGACAGGGGGAGACAGCTGGGTGGGTGGGCAACAGAGGGGACAAAAGTGCCTCCAAAGAGGCCCCGTTTGTGACCTCAGGCACTGAATTCAGAGCTTCTTTCTTGACCCGGTCAGGTCTCTGCGTGGCAAGGCCTTGGACGAAGTGGGCTGTCTGGGGTCTGCTGGGCCCTGGGTACCCTGCCGGCTACCCGCCTCTAACCCGGGCCTTTGCTCTTCCCCGGCAGGTTCTGCCCACTGTCATCTTCTTCAGCTGTGTCATGTCCACTCTGTACTATGTGGGCCTCATGCAGTGGGTGATCCAGAAGGTGAGTTACCAATGCCGTGGCCTCTGGGCTCTCGGGGAGCTACCTACCCGTGGGGCTCCTGCTCTCCCAGAAGGCCTTGCACCCAGAGCCCAAACCCTCCCTCACTCCCCAGCTCTGAGAGCCTGAACCTTCCCAGGATCCTGCTCCCGGGGTCTCCACTTCCCGCTCAGAGTCTACTGTTCACCAAACGTCTTTCGCAGAGTCTCCTGTCATGATACTAAGGGGAGATGGCACCAAATGCAATGTGGTCTTTGTGTAAGGGAAGTTGGCAGAATTGAGGCCCCTTTGAGAAGAAATGTCAGGGGAAGAAATCATATATACCAAAAAGATCTTGAGAGACTGGAGCAGTGGGCCAGACTTAGCTGGTGTACATGTCAAATCCTGTGCTTATGTTCGTAAAATGTGCCGCACGAAACCAGGATGCAGGAGGTGGCATTGGGCAGCAATTGGACCTGGCCATGAGGATGAGTCTGAGGTTTTAGCCTATCGAGCTCAGAATAAACCAGGGGCAGCAGGGGGCCACCAGAAAGACAAAACCGCCTGTGTTACGTAAGGAGTACCCAGCGTAGGGCAGGAGGGAGGCAGTTCTCTCCAAACCTGGAGCGTGTGTTCAGCCAAGGGGCTTTGGCAACTGAAGCCTCAGAGGAACAGTGACGGGGCCCAACACCATGCCCTCCACAGCATGGTTGCAGGAAGTAGGGCTGCTGAGCCTGGAAAAGAGGCTAGGGTGGAGGAGGTGAGGGTAGGAGAGCTGTCTCCAAATTCCTCTAAAAGAGCAGCCAGGGAGGTTCCTGCAGCGGGGAGAAATTCCAGGGAAGCGGACTTCATCTTGATCGAAAGGAAGAACTTTCTAATACAATGTTTCCCAAAGCCTTTTTCACAAAACTCCAGCTCCACGGAGAGTTAACACATGTTACTAGGTAAAGGGATCCCGTGGTCAAATACTTCTGTGAAGCTGGGCTAGACAAATTCGAACAAGTTTTTTGTGCAGGACTTCTCAGAGCCTTTTTCTAAGCTATGTATTTGGTAACCTCCAAGGTGTGTGTGTACAGAAATTCTCAAGTATATTGGGCCAGGGAACCCTTTTGTATGGAGACAGAAAACATGCCTTTGAGAAGCCCTGTTGTAATGATTGGAGCTATCCTAAGGTGGAGTCGGGGGTTCTTGGGAAGTGGTAAGCCCCCATGAATGGAGGTGTGGAAGGAGAAATGTAGGTGAGGTTTTCCTATGCTGGGCTGGAAGTTGGAAGGAAGACCTACCAGGTGCTTCCACCCCGCCCCTGACTCTCTTCGACTCTGGGGTTTGCCTGCCCACAAAGAGCTCTCTACCTCCTAGATCAGCTGGCTGATGCAGGCCACCATGGGCACCATGGCCACTGAGACCCTGAGTGTGGCTGGAAACATCTTTGTGAGCCAGGTGGGTACTGCAGCCCCTGCCCTCATGCTCAGCAGCAGCACCCCTGGGGGGTCCTGAGTCCCCAGAGCTCTGATTCAGTCAGCAGAAGAGACACTCGGACCTTCTCCCAGGGTCACCAAAGGCCGCTGCCCCGGAGATGCTCTGTTTGGGGATGCACTCTGCCTGAGTCGTGCCAGGGAGGGTGGCCTCTGTCTGGCGCCTCCTACCACTCTAGGCCCTGGAGGTCTTCATCCGCTTAGAGATGCACAAATCCTACAGGTGGTGTCCACCTTTCTCCTTTCCTGTAGAAACAGGCTCGAGGGTGGGAACAGCTTGCCAGGACCCCACAATATAAGTCAGGACTTAGGGGGCGCCTGGGTGGCTCAATTGGTTGAGCGACTGCCTTCGGCTCGGGTCACGATCCTGGAGTCCCGGGATCGAGTCCCGCATCGGGCTCCCTGCTCGGCGGGGAGTCTGCTTCTCCCTCTGACCCTCTTCCCTCTCGTGCTCTCTATCTCTTATTCTCTCTCTCTCTCTCTCTCAAGTAAATAAAATCTTTAAAAAAAAAAAAAAAAGTCAGGACTTAGAATCCACCTGTTCCCTTTCCTGGGCAGTGTTCCTTACATGACGTCATTTTGTCTTCTTTTTTCCCCTCCTTCTTTCTGAAATGTATTTCCCAAAGTAAATATGACTCTAAAGGCCCATGTCAGCCCTGAGCCCCTTTCAGAAGGCCCGGTCCTCCTGGGGGTGAGACTCCGGAGCCCGTTCCAGGGACCTAGCCCATCGGAACAACATTGGGGTCACCAAAAGTCATATTTGCCACAGAAAGCCATATTTCGCTGGACAGTTTAGGAAACTGGAGAATATTTGCATCTTTTTGGCAATAGTACCACTGTGTTGATTTCAAAGGGGTTTTTTTAAGCCAATGAAGACAGATGTGCTCTTAGATAAATAGTCTCAATTCCCTTCAGATATTTAAAATGAAGCAAAAGAGAAAGAAATGCTGAAATACAAAAGCACGTATTTAAATGAAATGTGGCAAATGTGCTCCATGGTTTTTGCTGAGAAAATACAAATTTTAGGTGAATGGGATTTGGGTGATGTGAAGAGCTCCCCAAGTGAACTGACTTTGGACCAGTTGGTGGGCACATTGACCTAGACCCCTGGGTCTTTGCCTTGCTTCCCCCAAGGGAAGGGGATGGGAAGCCTCTGAGGATAAGCAGCATCATCTCAGCCCTGATGCTGGAGGCCTGGGTCCTCTTCTCTGGCCACACTCTGTCCCTGGGGGGTTGCACCAGCCCCATGGCTTAACCACTTTAAGTGTCACCCCAGACCCTAGCTCTAGCGTGACCCACCCAACTGCCCCTTGACCTTCCACTTGGGTACCTAAAGGGCATCTCAAATTCACCACACCAAGTCCAAGCAGGTCAACCCCAATTCCCTCCTCAACACAACTGCACGCTTCCAAGTCTTTCTCTTCTCAGGAAAGGGTACTTCCTGTAGCGTCTTCCACGAAGTTGATCAGACAAAACTCCAGGAGTCTTCCTTCCTTCCTCGGCTTCCCTAGCTCCCGGCAGCTTCCAGCCCACCTGCCCCTCCTCCTCCTCCTCCAGCTCCAGCACCCCACCCCCACCACCTCTGCTGCAGGCACACTGGCCTGCTCTCGGGTTCTCAAAACCGCTAAGCTCAAATCTGCCCCAGGGCCCTTGCTGTTCACTTTGCCGGCAATGCTGTGCTACCAAATCCAACCGATGGCCCCTGTGGTCTTAGCTCCAATGTCACCTCCTCAGACAGCCCTTGCTTGTTTATTCTAAACATCCTGCAACCACCAGGCATTCACCAGCACATACCTTCATAGCTTTAGCACCATCTACGAGACACTGTTTATCTACTTGGTTCCTTGCTGGTTATCCATTTCTTCCCATAACCCACCCTTTTCCACTGCTCCCAGGATAAAAACTCTGTGCAGTCAGGGGTTCTATCTTGTTTACCCCCGATCCCTATTCTATAGAAGAGTCTGGAACATAGGAGGTGCTCAATAACTGTTCATTAAATGAATAAATGAATGGCTCCAGGCTTCCCCAGATGCCCTGAAGTAAACACACCACCGAATGCCCATCTCCTTTCTTTCTGGCAACCCCTATGGCTTCATTAAAAGCTCAGGCCTGGAGTTCCATCCACTTCTGGCCCTTTGCATGAACAGAGGTAATTCTCTGAACCTCTCTGATTCTCTGTTTGCTCTCCTGGAAAAGGGGGATGACCACTTCTTTCTCAGAAGGTCATGAGTGATGAATGTGAGGTCCAGGACCTAGTGGGCACTTGACCCAGGGGAGCATCATCAGGCCAAGAGGAAGGGCTGGGGGTCCCTCCGTAGAGCCAGGCCAATGCCAAGGTCCAGGGAGGCCCAGCCCAGTACAGACTATGGTCCCGACCCTGCCTTGCTGACTCTGCCCCTGGGATCCCCGGGACCCTCTGCGACTTGTGCCCACTCCCGGGGGAAGGGGGAACACCCTGGCCGTCTGACATCTTTCTCGTTTGCAGACGGAGGCTCCTCTGCTGATCCGGCCCTACCTGGCTGACATGACTCTGTCCGAAATCCACGCCGTCATGACCGGAGGCTACGCCACCATTGCCGGCAGCCTGCTGGGCGCCTACATCTCCTTTGGGGTATGTCGAGCTCTCCCTGTGCTTGCTGAAAACCTCCAGAACCTGAAACCCTCCTTTTGTGGGAGCCGCACACAGCTTGTGGCCAGAGCAACCTAGAGTCTTCTGTCGTGGGCTGTGTCGGGAAGGCTGGCCGCTGTGATGCTTCTGAATAAGGCGGGCCAGGTGGGCTGGACCATTCGGGCTTCCCACGTGGCCACTGGGGGCAAGAGTTCCCAGTGTTCCATCTACTGGGCACCTCTCATGTACCAGGCAAAGTGCTAGGTATCTCGACATTCCCATTTTACAGATGAGGAAGTTGAGACTCAGAGAATAGGCGAGATGCCCCCAGCCAGGCTTCGAGCCCACATCTGTCTCACTCGAAGACTCATACACACAGTCCCTCACCTGGGCTGTCCCTGGAGATCTGTCCTACGCCCCCTGCCCTCCTTTTCCCCACACCCTTGCTCCGCACAAGTCCTTCCCCTGCTCCTAAATTATTGCTTGTGCAGCTTTTGAGCACAATACATTTCTAGGTCAAATTCCAATGGTGTGACTCAAGCCCTTACACCAATCCCAATCCTGCGTGGCAAGCGGAGATGACTCTTCCCATATGTCCCCTACAAAGTGCCTGGTAACAGCGCTCTGCATTTGTAAAACACTCTGTACTTCTTTGTGCTTCCACATGCAAATCTTTAAAGATCTTAATGTTTTTCTTAACTATCAAAGAAATTCTTGCTTCTTGCAGAAGCGAGGAAAGTAAAAAAAAAAAAAAAAGAACTTCTTCAAACCCATTTCTCAAGGGAACTGCTTTTACTAGGTTAGAAGATTAGAACAGCAGTTCTCTGACTGGGAACTTGTCAGAAATGCAAATTCTTGGGCCCCACCCCAGACCCACTGAATCAGAAATGCTAGGGATGGGGCCCATATCCTGTATTATAACAAGCCTTCCAGATGACTCTAGTGCTCAATTTGAGAACCACTGACTTAAGATTCATCATTCCAGATCTGTCTGTGTCGTCATTTAAGTATATATACCTGAATACACACATACTCGCTTTCTTTTTTTACTAAAAATGAAGTAATTCTACCCTTGGTTTTCAGCAGTTTGCCGTTTTCTTGCAAAATCTGAGCATGACATGAAATCCAGAAGTAAAAAGGAAAAGGTTGACAGAGCTACTCATAAAAATGAAAAATGTCTGTATGGTGAAAGTCACAATTTTTAAAAAGTTTAAATGATTGATCAGGTGAAAATAGTTCATAAATCGGGCGCCTGGGTGGCTCAGTTGGTTAAGCGACTGCCTTCGGCTCAGGTCATGATCCTGGAGTCCCAGGATCAAGTCCCGCATCGGGCTCCCTGCTCGGCGGGGAGTCTGCTTCTCTCTCTGACCCTCCCCCCTCTCGTGTGCTCTCTCTCTCATTCTCTCTCTCTCAAATAGATAAATAAAATCTTAAAAAAAAAAAGAAAATAGTTCATAAATCATAAAAAGATATTCCAGCTCACTGATAGTCAAAGAAATTAAAACAATAACTTCTGTTTCTTCTAGAAGATGTGCATTTTACATGCTTCTATTTTTTAAAAAATATTTATTTGCCAGAGAGAGAGAGAGCACAAGCAGGGGGAGTGGCAGGAAGAGGGAGAGGGAGAAGCAGACTCCCCACTGAGCAGGGAGCCTGACAGGGGCTTGGGGCTCGATCCCAGACCCCTGAGATCAGGACCTGAGCTGAAGATAGACACTTAACCGACTGAGCCACCCAGGCGTCCATTTACGTGCCTCTAAATGGCAGGGCTATAGGGCGCTCTTGACGGGAGTGTAATTTGCTGTCACCTTTTGGGAGAACGTCTGTCAGTCAGTTTAAATACTCTTTCCCCGGGCGCCTGGGTGGCTCAGTTAGTTAAGCGTCTGCCTTCGGCTCAGGTCATGATCCCAGGGTCCAGAGATCGGGCTCCCTGCTCGGCGGGGAGCCTGCTTCTCCCTGTCGCTCTGCCCCTCCCCCTGCTCCTGCTCTCTCTCACACTCCCTTTCAAATAAATAAATAAAATCTTAAAAAAAAATACTCTTTCCCTTTGATCCAGTTAGGAATATTATGATACGGAAATATTTTCATAAGTGGTCAAAAAATGCCAAATTCCAACGTTATTTGTAATAAAAAAAAAAAGGAAAGAAAGAAAGAAAGGGCGAGCATCAACCTAAATGTCATCTATATCATGCACTGTCGCTCAGCCCCTAGAGTGAGGTGGGCCTCCTGGTGCAGATGGAGAGTATGGCCTGCCTTTCGCTGCCTGCAGGGTCGAGAGAGAGAGAGAGAGAGAGAGAGAGAGAGAGAGAGTGTGTATGTAGGGGGGGGATGCTAGAATAACCCACCCTGTCCCCTCCCCTGGTCCCGAGTTCCACCTGTCTTTCTCATCTCTGTTCTTGGGAGTGGGCAAGGGGATGAGCCAACCTGCCCTCGGGGCACATGGACCACACTGGTAAGCTCAGCTGCCCGCAGAACTCCCCGGGCAGAGCAGATGCTGTGTGACTTTCCCAAAAGGCCCCTTGTGCTCTGGCGCTTTGGTATTCTGGGCTTGGCACCCTCTGGACGAGAATTTTAGAGATCATCTCGTTCACCAAGGCCTAGAGAGAGCCCACCACCCTGAACTGATTTTGGAAGGAATTTGATGTTTCCCAAAAATGGAAACTCGCAACTTTGTTCCTGAAACTTTTTTCATGGCGGTGTGTTGGGGGCGGAGGGGCACCGTTTGTTGGGACTTAGGGCTTTTACGTGTCTTGACATTGCTCCGGGTTCCACAGTCAGTTAAAAGAAGGGTATTCCCACCGCGTGAGCCTTGCTGTTATTACTTCAGATTAAAATACCGGGAGCACACTCCCTATTCCTCAGTCTGCCTTGCCACTCAGCTTCCTTTCCTTCCCGTCTCAGGCCAGAGTCCAGGCCCAGCCCCAGGCAGTCGGGCCTCCCACTGAAGGGACCTGGGTGCCCACTTCCTTTTAGCTCAACAGAATGTGCAGAGGCCGCCAAATCTCCACGCACAGGCTCTGGTACAAAGCTGCAGTCCCCATTGCTGGCCCAGGTGAAAGGCCCACCCCACAGACCTTCCTTCCCTCCTTCCCTCCCTGCTCTGGATGGGCCTTTAGTCTGGAATCCGAGAAGCTCTCTTCTGCCCCCACCTGGCACTTGGCTGCCACTGCAGCAGCCCCAGGGCCTTCTCCCACAGGCGCGCATCCCCACCCTCTTCCTTCACCTTTCACTCCCTCCCCCGGCAGCTCCTCACTGTGTCTTTGACTCAGCCCTCAGCCCCTGAATTCCAGAAAGGTCCCTGCGCACTCCTCCTTTCTCTTTGTTGCTCAGCGGGCTCCCTTTGCCCTGCTCTCCTCCTATTGGATCTTTCTACCCCTGTGCTGTCTGATGCACTGACCACTAGCCACACGTGGCTATTGAGCCCTTGAAATGTGGCTGGTCTGAAATGAGATGCGCCTTGAGACCTCGTCCGGAAAAAAACGGATATATTTTATGAATAAAGTTTATACTGATTACATGAATGGAAAGATAATGATTTGGATATGTTGGGTTAAGTAAAATGCATTACCGAAAATAATTTCACCTGTTTCTCTTTACTTTTTTCATTGGCTACTAGAGAATTTAAAATCACAGACATGGTTCTCATTATATTTGTATTGGACGGCACTGGTCTAGACCTCCTCCCCTGCTCTGAGGTCCCAGGGCTCCCTTGACTGAATTCTTTCATTGTGATCTCCATTTCCTTTTCTTTTAAGAGTTATTTATTTATTTATTTGTGAGAGAGAGAGAGAGAGAGAGAGAGAACACAAACAGGGGGAGCTGCAGGCAGAGAGAGAAGCAAACTCCCCGCTGAGCAGGGAGCCCGATGTGGGGCTCGATCCCAGGGCCCTGGGATCAGGACCTGAGCCGAAGGCAGACTCTTAACCAACTGAGCCACCCAGGCGCCCCTATACATTTCCCTTTTCACCATAGTTCCCCAAAACTCTAAAGCAGGCCCCAGCCCTCTCCACTAAGCCCCAGAAACTGGTCTCTCTCCCCACTCCTTTGGCTCAGGGGCCCCTGTGAGGGGAGCGGTGAACACAGGCTGGGCAGTGTCATGTTGAGGGGATCAGCCACTGACGCTCCTCAATCAACTGTGCAAGAGTGGGGGCCCCTAGGATAGGGTCTGTGAGGTTCTGAGCAGGGCTGAGAGTCTACCACTTAGTTTCCACATCTGTAAAATGGGCAGAATTACTGCCCACCTCACAGCAGTTTAAGAGTTAAATGCAATAATAGCAAACAGCGCAGTGTTGAAAAAGTGGTATTTCTTTCTCTGACTTATTAAGGTCAGAAATCCATCCTTCTGAAACTGGCCCATTTTACGCTTTGTAGTTGTGTGGATTTTTTTTCCTTTCTCAGCAAAGTTTTTTTTTTTTTTAAGATTTTATTTATTTATTTGACAGAGAGAGAGAGAACACAAGCAGGCGGAGAGGGAGAGGGAGAAGCTCCCTGCTCAGCCCTGATGCGGGCCTCGATCCCAGGACCCTGGGATCATGACCTGAGCCGAAGGCAGACGCTTAACCAACTCAGCCACCCAGGTGCCCCAGTAAAGTTATTTTTGATGGAGGGTGCACACCCTCAATCCCTTTCCACATGGGACCCCCTTTGGGTAGAGAGAGGAAAGCTCTGAGCAGAAGTAGGCCCTGGGATGCTGGGGCAGAAGATGTTCCTGACGGGGCGCCTGCAGGCAGGACTGGGGGTGTCACAGCCTGAGGAGTCCCTGGCGGTGGGGAGGACTGACCCGGTGCCCCAGGGAGGCCAGTCTGGGCAGAACTCACCCCTTTCCAAGCTGTAATGACCAGCTGGAGCCCTTGAGGCTCTGTCCCTGGCGGTGGGGAGGACTGACCCGGTGCCCCAGGGAGGCCAGTCTGGGCAGAACTCACCCCTTTCCAAGCTGTAATGACCAGCTGGAGCCCTTGAGGCTCTGGTCAGGCTTGGCGCCCTCAGACAGTGTCCAGGAATGTGACGTGGGTAGGATATGTACCCTGCTCAAGTTGGCAAAGGAGAGGTGACCTCCAAAGTGGGGGAAGGGGGAGGGTCCTGGCTGATGGAGGGGAAAGCCCCAGGTCCCTGGTTTGGCACCGTCCCCATGGGATCTGGGCTGCTCTGCAGAGGCAGGTGATGTCCCAAAGCCCAGCCTGGAGCATCCAGGTTCTGGTTTCTTCCGGCAAGGAGCAGGGCCTGCACACCGAGGGCCTAGGATAGGGTGTGCAGGACGTGGGCGTTGGTGCTGATACTCATGTTAAAGGGTTTCTACTCCCAACTGAAAAGAAACAAAGGGGGTTTAAAAGAAGAGGGAAGGGCACCTGGGTGGCTCAGTCGGTTAAGTGTCCGACTCTTGGCGTCAGCTCGGGTCATGACCTCAGTTGGAGCCCCCCATGGTGGCTTGACGATGCTTAGCCGTTCCCTTGTTGTTAGATGTTTGGGTTGGTTCTAATTTTTCCACTTGGTAAATAATACAGTGTTGGAAAAATATCCCATCCATCTCTGGGGCAGAAAACGGAAGCAGGGGTGCCTGGATGACTCAGTTGGCTAAGTGTCTGCCTTTGGGTGAGCTCACGATCTCGGGGTGCTGGGATTGAGCCCCTCATTGGGCTCTCCACTCAGCAAGGAGTCTGTTTCTTCCTCTCCCTCTGCTCATGCTCTCTCTCTCTCAAATAAATAGATAAAACCTTAAAAACAAACAAATAAACAAAAAATAAAACAGGGAAGCAAAGGGTTTGAGGCCATACTAAGGATAATAATTCAGGAAGCATGAGTCCCTGGGGCCCAGGTTGCTCTGCCATCCTGCTGGGAAGGAATTCTGTAGCGTGGCTCCTGCAGACAGACCCAGGGCCAAAGCGTGGCTCTTTTGGTGGCAGATTTCCTAAGGGCTCTCTGACCACAGCAGTGGATGTGATGGGCTGCCTTGAAATGGTGAGCTCCCTGTCACAGTAAGTATGCAAGGTGGGAATCCTATAGAGGAAGGACATTCCTATATTACGAGGTCAAATGAGGTCACCACTTGGATCCATCCCAGCTCTTGTTCTGTGAGCCTTGAAACCATCACAAACCCTTCAGCCGGTGGAGGACCAGCCCTCAGATGACTGGCCAAAGGAAGACAGCCCAGAAGGGAAGGAAGAACTCTGAACTTGGAGCCAAAAGACATGAAGGTTCTAATTCCTTCTCTGACTTCATTTTGGGCAGGTCACATTTAATCTTGGGGGGCCTCAGTTTCCTTGTCCACGCCGTGGGCTAACACTACTTGCTCGGTCTCACTGACAGAAGTCCTGCAGGGAAAGAGGACATTCTGTGCATCCAGCCTGTGACCCTTTATCCAGAAAGGTATCATTACTGTCACCAGCGAGGACAGCAGTACTGACCACGAGGACACACCCAGTGAGGCAGAGTGCCCGTGCCCCCTGCTGCCCTGGGCTGCACTCCTGGCCCCAACATTTCCTCTGTCTCCCTCTGTCTCCGGGTAAGCCTTACTCACCATTCCTGCAGATCGATGCTGCCTCCCTGATTGCCGCCTCCGTGATGGCCGCCCCTTGTGCCTTGGCCCTCTCCAAGCTGGTCTACCCGGAGGTGGAGGAGTCCAAGTTTAAGGGCAAAGAAGGGGTGAAACTGACTGGAGGGTGAGTGCAGAGGGAGGGCGGCCTGGGGGGGCTCAGGAGGAGGGGCGCGGGAGGGGAGCTGGAGGGGAGGGAGGTGGGGCTGGGGGAGGAGGGGAGGGAGGTTGCAGGGAGCAGGGGGCTCTGGGGGGAGCAGAGGGTGAGGGGTGGGGAGGGCTTTGTGGGAGGGGAGGGGGAGGGCGGTGGGGGTAGGGAGCAGGAGCGGGCGGGGCGGGAGCAGAGGCGTCTGGTTCTCTCTGCCCAACCCCGGGCCCTCGCCTCCTTCACTGCCCGGGCTCCTGGCTTCGCGTCTTAATTTCCAGTCTCAGACCAGAGGGAAAGGCCTGGCAGGTCACATGGGAGAGCGGCCTGTTGTGTGCTGGGGAGGGTCCTGAGAAGGCCCCAGGCCACCTGTTCCCGGCGCCTTCAGCTCCTGCACCAGGGTGTCAGTCACATGTGACTCAGCACCATCCCTGATTACCTCACCTGCCAACACCTCTTCCTCATGGCCTAACAACCGCCGTGTAACACTGGCTTTGGTGCTGAGAAGGCTCCACTTGTAGCCAGGGTGCTTGGGGTACGGTGGGCAGATCCAGAGCTGCACCGCCCTGTAGAAATGGAGTGTGGGCCACATCTAGAAGTTTAAGTTTTCTAATAGTTGTGGTTTTTAAAAAGTCAAAAGAAACGGGTGATTTTATTAACATATTTTTTAATCCAGTATGTCCAAAATATTGTCATTTCCAACATGTAATCAATATAAAACATTATTAATGAGCTTTCTCGTGTTCTTTTTTTTTTTTTTTTTGTCCCAAATCTCTGAAATCTGGTCTGTGCTTATGCTTACAACATACCTCGGTGCTGACCAGCCTCCTCCCAGGTGCTCCAAAGCCACAGGGCCGGTGGCTCCCACATGTGGACACAGCACCGTGCCGGCAGTCCGGGCCTTATCCTAGTGCTCGGACCAGCCCCTCTCTCCCCGCTGGGTCTCAGAAACAAAACAAGGACCCTCGGTGTCAAAATACTTTGTCCAAGCTTCTACTCTGAGCCTACAGGATGCGGATCCCCACTGTTTGTGGGGACAGGCCAATCATGGTGGTTCTTGGTCCCAAAACAGAGACGCTCAGAACCTCTTAGAAGCAGCCAGCAGTGGGGCCACTGTCTCCGTGAAGCTGGTGGGGAACATCGGAGCCAACCTGATTGCTTTCCTGGCATTGCTGGCCTTCGTCAACGCGGCCCTCTCCTGGCTGGGAGCCATGGTGGGTGCCCAGGAGCTCAGCTTCCAGGTACCGTTGGGCTGCCCACTTGGCCCGCGAGGGGCGGCCCGGGGCTGGGGAGTGGGCGGAAGTGGGTGGACACCCAGCAGATCCATGGCCAGCCTTGGTCGTGGTCCCAGCAGCTGCCCTTGCCTTGTGCCTCAGCTCATCTGCTCCTACGCCCTGCGGCCTGTGGCCTTCTTAATGGGGGTGGCCTGGGAGGACTGCCCGGTGGTGGCAGAGCTCCTGGGGATCAAGCTGTTCCTGAACGAGTTCGTGGCCTATCAGGAGCTCTCCCAGTACAAGCAGCGCCGCCTCGCAGGAGCTGAGGAGTGGGTCGGCGCCAAGAAGCAGTGGATCTCCGTGAGTGTCCCGGTCCCCTCCCTGCGGCATGGGTGTCACGCCGCTGCTCCTGGGCCCCCAGGCAGGTGCTGTCCCGGCTCCTGGACAGGCAGGGGACACACGGAGGTGGTGCCCAGCCTCCCAATCCTTCTGCCCTGGGCGACAAGATGGCCTCAGGTTTCACTGCCTCCTTCCCGAAACCTCTGAGGAGGCTGAGCTGCAGGGAAGAGCCTCTTTGGGAACACCTGAGATCTTGCCGTAGATGGGCCACCATCCGGTGTGGCCTTGGGACGGCCACAGAGCCTCGCCTCTCCTACTGGAAAGTGGTGTGATTTGTGCCATGGCTGCGCCCAGAGGGACATATGTGAGCGTCCAGTGAGCAGAGGGAGCGAGATAGGGAGGCCCCGCCACATTCACAGCCAGCATACTGGATTCAGTTCCCCTGATGGCTTTTTCTGTGAAAATCTATTACTAAAAACTCTAGGGGTGCCCGGGTGGCTCGGTCGGTTAAGCATCTGACTCTTGACTTCTGCTCGGGTGATGATCTCAGGTTCGTGAGATCGAGCCCCGTGTTGGGCTCCACGCTCAGCAGGGAGTCTGCTTGGGATGCTCTCTCCCTCTCCCCCTGCTCCTCCCCACCCCTGCGCAAGCACAGGCTCTCTCTCATTCTCTCTATCATAAAAAAACCAAAACTCGAAAAGCTCTATAAAATGAATGTTTCTAAATAAAAACTCTATGTAGCATCACTGAGAACAAAACCATTACCTGTCACCTCGCCATCCTAAAATAACAGCTAGTGTTGTTTTATGCATTTTCTCCTATTCTTTTTTCAAGGGAGAGTTTACCTAGTCATTATAGCATCCATCCTGTATGGGAGCCAGCTTTCCCCGCACCAAGTGTTATGACGGAAACATCATTTTTGATGTATGCATCCTGACATATTTAACCAATCCCTTGCTGTTGGGCCCCCCTGGGTTCATTGCCTTGTTTGGCTATTTTACACAGTGCTGAAATGAACAGCTTTGTGCACAGAACCTTTCCCTCCTCTCGGATCATTTCCTCCGGAGCTTTCCCAGATGTGGGATGACTGAATCACATGGCATGAATCCTTGTGTGGTTGCTCCCAGTAACTTCCCCAAAGGGTGGTAGCATCGGAAATGGCCCCCAGCTGGGCTGTGAGTGCTGACTTTACTACACACTAAGCAGCACTGAGCAACCTCCTTAAAAAAAGTTGTGCTTACTGTAACAGGCAATAGCTCATTGTTTTAATTTGCATCTCTTGAGTTACTAGGCACTTTGAAGGGGAAATATTTTTTCTTCTTCAATTATGTTTTAAATTGTAAGGGAATGTAGCCTTCAGTTAAAAAAATAAATAAATTGTGTGAGATCAAAAGCACAGATTTCCCTGCCCTTGTCCTCAGCCCCTGTCTGTCTCTCCTCTAGAGATAATGGATGGGATGCTCCTTTAGGATTTTTTTTTTTTTTTAGGGTCTTTTTTTACTTTGTTCCTTTAGTAAGTATTGGTTGAGACCCCCAGGGTACCAGGCACTCTGCGAGGCACCAGAAATTAAAAGAGGAAGTAGACAGACATGGTCCCTGATGTCATGGAATGTACGCCTAGTGAAAAGCACAAGGAAGTGAAGGAATAAAAAGTAAACCACGATTTGAATGAAGTTCTACGAAGGAAACAAGAAGTGGAAACAGAAGGGTCTTCCTGGGCCAGTCAGAATATGCTCCCCGAGGTGTAGCATTTAGCCCTAGACTTGGAGGGAGGAGAAGGGGCCAGGTGAAGCTGGGAAGAGCATTCCAGACAAAGAAAAGACACGTGCAAAGGCCCTGAGGTTGAACAGCACTTGTTTGGAGAAACAAAAGGAAAGAAGCACAGTTAGAGCAGTGGTAATTGTAGAAGAGACTGGCTGAGGAGACTTCCTGAAGATTTGACATTTTACATTTTAAGATTACATGAGCTGCTGTAGAGAGGGTGATGGTAGGTGAGCAAGCCGGATGCAGGAGCCTTAATATTTTTCCATCCATTTGTGTAAACTCTTTATGTTATAAGGACATTAACCATTTTCTATTATATTTTATATATATCTATTTCCTAGTCTTTTTTCTCCTTCATCTTGTATTCGGGGATTTTTTTTTTAACCGATTTTACACCAAATCTTTTCCTTTGTATTTCTAAACTTAGAAAGTTATCTCCATTCCAGAAATCTGATAGGTATTAAATTCCTGAGACAATATGGTGAAATATTTAAAAGCTTGAGTTTTGCAGTCAGGCAGAACTGAATTCCAATTCTTACAATGCTACCTTCTGGCTGTGTGAACCAGTTCCTCAGTTACTCAACCTCTCTGAGCCTCCGTTTGCTCCTCTCCAAAATGAGAGTAATAATGCTACCTTGTAAGTATAATTATTATTTGCCTATATTTTCTATTATTTGCTGTTTAAAATATCAGTATTTATCTGCTTCAATGCTCTAGAATTGATTTTTTTATATGGTGTGAGGTATGATCTAAGCCATTTTTTTTATTCCAAATTGTTCCATTTGGCTCTTAACACCTCTTTCTGGGAAATTAAACAACTGTATAATTGGGAGGGGAAGGAGAATTACTTTGCTTAAATACCTGGTACTTCCCCTACCATGCGACCCTTACAACAGCCCTCAGGCAGGTGCTATTATTCCCACCTGCAGAGACACTGAAATGTAAAGAGGCTATTGACTTGCTCAATCTGGTCATAGGTGGGGACACATGTGGAGCCCCACTGGCTGGGCTCCCAGTTCCTCACTGTCTTCAGGAGGCTGTCCTCGGTCCTCTTGCAGCCTGAGAGCCCCTGCAGGAAAACAAACTCCAGTCTATAGTGTTGGGAATGGCCATTCACCAAGTGCCCCCGGGCACAGAGCTTAGGAGGGCCAACGCCAGAGGGCCTAACAAGCCTGAATCAGACTGGGAAAGGGTGGCAATTAAGATAAGGGGACTGAAGGCCACAGGAAGGGGGCTGTTTCTCAGGGGGTGCGGCCCGAACTGACCTAGAGGCCGTTGTGCAAGGCCTGGGGTGGGGTGGGGTCAAGCACTGAGAGCTTCAAAGGTCAAAAACACACCGGAAGTGGATGCAACTAGGGCTGGGGAGCCAGGGTGCTGTGGGAGTGCCCCGCCCCATGCAAGGGAAGCCCGTCCTCACTCATCTTCTGTCTTTTCAGGTCCGAGCAGAAATCCTCACGACGTTTGCCCTCTGTGGATTTGCCAACTTCAGTTCCATTGGGATCATGCTGGGAGGGCTGAGTGAGTCCTGGGGGCCTCCCCAGCACCCTGGGCGGTTGGGGGCCTGGCTCTGAAACAACTTCCTGGGATCCTTAGGCCTCAGTCCTCCCGTATGTCCAGGGCAGGGCCTGAGCAAGATGGCTGAGGAGGTTCCTCCGAGCCCTAGGACTTCTCTGCTGCCGGCGGCGGGGGGGGGGAAGGGGGGGCACCGCCCAGGGGTTAGCATCCGGCTCAGGAGTCTAGGGAGGGAGGGAAGATGCAGTGCTGGCCTGTCCCCTGAGGCCTTGGACACCCACGGTGGACAGGTGGCCCTGGCGAGGAAGGAGGAGGGCCCTGCACGGTTCTGAGCAGCTCCTCACAGACCCCCTGCCTGGTGGTGTAACCATCCCATTTTACAGAGAAGGAAACTGAGTCTTGGAGAAGGGAAGTAATGGTCCCAGTCGCTCAGCTAGTTAGTGGCTGAGCCTGTATTTGATCCCAGGTCTGCCTGATGGCAAACTCACCTTCTTTTCCTACAACTGCCTGTGAGGATGGCAGGTGTGGGGCGTTACCTGGGGCCCCAAGTCAGGCCAAGGAGGACTCCCGAACTCAGTAAGCGCTCAGGAGGACAACATCTATCCCTCCGTGTGCCCAGAAGGGGAAGGGGAGTAGGCAGAGGCATCCAGAGGTACGGAGTATGGGCAGAAGGGGAGAGGGCCTCCCGGTGCTCAGCACCCCGGTCTCCTTGCAGCCTCCATGGCCCCCCAGCGGAAGAGCGACTTCTCCCAGATAGTGCTGCGGGCGCTCTGCACCGGGACCTGTGTGTCGCTGGTGAATGCCTGCGTGGCAGGTGAGTGCCAGCCTGGCAGAGTCCTGATTTTCTAGCCCCATCCAGGGCCAGACACCGGGGCTGTGGCCCCTCTGGAAGTTCCGGCAGGGGTGGGGAGTAGGGGGGGTGGAACGCAGACCCTGCCCACCAGCTGCCTTCCCTGCACAGGGATCCTCTATGTGCCCCGGGGGGCTGCGGTCAACTGCATGACCCTCCTGAACACAACCATGGACGGCAGCAGCTTCGAGGTGTACCAGTGCTGCCGCGGGGCCTTCCAGAGGTGAGGCCCGGGCCGGCGGGGGGCTCGGGGGCCCTGCAGTGATGGGGTGCAGAGGGCCCAAGTGCCTTAGGGGTGCCTCTGGCTCTGGGGTGAGGGGTAGAAATGTTATGGCCGTGGCCGATGTGGGGCCTGGAGACCAGACGGGGAGGAAGGGTGGACCAGAGGCATGGAGTAGCTTTCCCAGGGTTGAACACCCCTCAGAGGCCAGCAGAGCCAGGCCCGGAGCCCAGACCGCAGCCTTTGCTTCTTTTCAGCCCCAGCCCAGAGGTCCGCCGAGAGGCCCTGGACGTCTGCTGTCGATTTTACAACCACACGATCTGTGCGTAGCGGGGGCAGCGCGTCGCCGGCCTCCTGGGGGCTGTCCCCACCCTTCTCTCTCCAGGCCCCTCCTGTGGGGGGAAGCCGCGGGGCCGAGACTCACCTCAGTCACACGGTTGGGGAGGAGCGATGGGGCGAGCGGGCAGAGAGTGGGTGGTGTGGAAGTGAGGGATGGCCCCCAGTCCTCCCCCCTTCCTGCTCCCTCCCGAAATGTGAATTCTCAGGGTCACCTCTGCCTCCTTTTCTCTCCCCTCCGCATCCAAACAGCACTCTGGTCCTCTGTCTCCCCACTGTGGGTCTCTCATGTGCACCCTTCCCTTCAGTTACGGGGTCCTTACCCTGGGCTTTGCAGCTGCCTCCCTCCCCCGCCTCTGGCACTGGAATCTTGCTGTGGCTTACCTGGGCCAGACCCTTCCTCTACTTTCAGAAGCTCCCCTGCAGCCTTTGCCCATAGCATTCCCAAACTGTGGTGTCCCGTGGAACACGGTCCCACGAGGTATTAGAAGGTTCCGTGATCCCCCAGGCTTGGAAAACACCGGGCTAAATAAAGTTACACAGGTTTTGCTCTGGGGTTTTTGTTTTACTATGTATGGACTCGCCAAGTCTTGATCCAGATATGACAGGAGACATTTTCCAAATTTTCTCGACCATAAGAACCTTTGGGATGGGAGCATCCCTTAGTTGAGGACCCCACAGAACACAGTTCAGGAAATAGTGGTTCATGTTCGAGCTGCTTTACATAATTGGAGCACTCACAGCTGTTTACATAGCACTGCCTGCCAGGCACTGTTCTGGATGCTTCAGACATTCTCTCAACCCTGACAACAGCCTTAATGAGGTCAGGTTCTATTATTATCCCTGGTTGAGGAGTCAGAGGCCCAGAGAAGTTAAGTGACTTGCCCAAAGCCACACAGCTTGGAAGAGGAAGAGGTGGGATTTGAACCCAGGCCGTCCAGCCTCGCAAGCAGCGTTGACTCTCCGCGAGGCTGCCGGCATCAAAGGGACTTGGTTGGGTGACTTGCGCTGACCTCCTCCCCAGCGCACGCTTGCTGCTCTAGGGGCCAGGTTTCTGAGGTGCTTGACGTGCCCCTGCGCCTTCATTCCTGGCGTCCCCAACACCCAGCAGACCCTGTCCCTCTCCCTTTGGCCTGGGCTGCTCCTGCCGACTTCCCATTCCCCAGCGGCTTGGGCGGAGTGACCGGCGATGCAGGGACTGCTGCTCCGTCACTCACCTGTGTCACCTCCAGCTTCCCAGTTGCAGCCCGCCCTGGGCCAAGGCAGAGAGAGGATGTGCTCTCAGCTCAGCACTGCTCTGATCGTGGGACGGGCACAGAAGTGAGAGCTCCTCAGTCATCGGACCTTCCCTCCACCCCCGTGCTCCATCCTCCTCACTGGACACCTGCAGAAGTCGGGAGCCCCTTAGCGGGGGGGCGGCTGCAGACATCTGGTGCAGGAAGCCCATGCATAACTGCATCCCAGGCAGCAGCTCTTAAGTCAAGATTGGCACAGACCCCTCCACTTGCCCCTTAAACAGCCGTGACAGACATTGCTAATCGATCACAGCACTCCCCACACTGAATCCAGAAGGGCCTCCAGAATCCCCATCAGTGTGGGGCTGGAGGACCCCACTGCCAAGGGATTCAGGCTGCCTTTTCGGGAGAGAACTATTTGTTGCCCCTGTGCTAAGAAATAGACACTAAGAACCCAAACTGCCATTGATTTTATGTCCCTGGCCTGGGAAGGGCTGGGGTTTTTGGAAAAGACTCTAGAAATGAAGGGTGTTGAAGCAGAGAGGGATTCTTGCAAAGAATGAGGCCCGTGCCCTCTGTCCTCTCCAGGATTATGCACCGCTCGTTGATTCAGTCAAGGAATATCCACGGAGCACCTGCTTTATTAGCTCAGGCTGCCATCACACAATACCACAGACTGGGTGGCTTGAACAACAGAAGTTAATTCTGTCATAGTTTTGGAGGCTGGAAGCTCAAGATAAGGGTGCTAGCATGATCATTTCTAGTGATGTCTCTCTTGCTAGCGTGCAGATGGCCTCACACGGCAGAGAGAGAGAGGGAGACAGCAAGTCCTCCGGTGTTTCTTCTTGTAAGGGCACTAATCCCACTATGGGAACCCTCCTGACCTCATGTGACCCCATTACATTCCCGAGGCCCCATCTCCAAATACCATCATCGCCTTGGAGGTGAGGGCTTCAACATAAATTTGGGGGGGGAATGCAATTCAGTCTGAAACACCTACTATGTGCCAGGTTCCGAGCTAGGCAGGGGAACAGCAGGGAACGAAACTCCGATGAGCTAAAGAACTGGCATCTGGCTTCGAGAAGAGGGTTGGCTGGGAAGGGAAGTCCCTCCCGAGACAGGCGGTGGCTCCCAGGAAGATGACCTTGATAGGAGGGAAGGGCAAAGGATTTTCAGCAGGCTCCTCAGGCGTCCTTAGGGGGCCTGGCCGACGGCATTTTTCCGGGCTCTTTATAGCGGAAAAGTGAAAATGATGCCAGAATAGGATTACACAAATTACGATTTATATTGTCATATATTTTAACACAGAACACACTATAATATTGTATTGTCCCCAAGATAATGATAGGATTTATTTTCAACTAAAGCCCAACTGAAGACTCTACGAAGCCATTTTTATTAATCTAAAAAATTTCACTGTGATTGCCTGTTTTTATACATTAGGTTTCTTGAAATCTAGATTCCGTGCCCTTCGGTACTTAGTGTAATCGCAGTCAACATATAAGATATATTTATTATGTTAAATTAAGTCCTGGTGGGGTGGTCTGCTGATGAAGATTTTTCAGCCAACATGACTATATGAGTGACCTAATTTGGAGATGTGAGCAGAAGTCTACATTCAGCAAACGTACAATTCCTCTGTGAAGTTGTGTAAGCCTTCTGAACGTCACTTTCAGTATCTATTACATGATTACAGAGCTATAAATACATGTGGGCCATACTCTGAATAGCATTGTCCTCTAGTATTTTCTGTTAATGAAAATTTGTCAGAATTGTCTACTCACATGATTTGTCCTGAATGTCAACTTCTCTAAGGAGACGTGGGAAAAGGCAGCAGGACTCTGGTTGGAATCTAGGACACCTGTCTTTCATATGAGAGAATGTACGCAAAATCGCACAGACAGAGGCACCTAGGTTAAGCGTCCACCTTCGGCTTAGGTCATGATCCCAGAGTCCAGGGCTCGAGTCCCATGTTGGGCTCCCTGCTCAATGGAGAAACTGCTTCTCTCTCTGCCCTTCCCCTGGCTCATGCTCTCTCTTAAATAAATAAATAAAATCTTTTAAAAAAATTGCACAGACAGTAGAATTCCAAATAATTTATGCAATACTTCCCTTAAGAGGTGGAGCAGAGCCTCCTACCCCTTAAGTGTGGGCTATGCTTAGTGACTTGCTTCCAGAGAGTACAGTATAGAAATGGGGGGAAATAAGAAAGTAACTTTGCTGTAGAGAAACCTGGTAAACACTTCCTTAGCCAGGTGATCATGGTTAACATCATCAGTGACAAATCCAGGTGGTAACACATGCCCTTGATATACTGTGTTGAGAACAACACTTCACTTCTGTGGTCTTCCTCTCCAAAGCCCATAACCCTGGTCTAACCATGAGAAAAACATCAGACAAACTCAGATTGAGAGGCAGTCTACAAAACACCTAACCAGGAATCCTCAAAGCTGTCAGGGTAATGAGAAGCAAAGAAAACTCGAGAAACTGTCACAGTCCCAAGCAGCCTAAGGAGACATGATGACTCAATGTGATGCGGTATTACAGTGGGTGAATTGTGTCCCCCTCCAAAAGATAAGTCCAAGTCCCAACTTCCAGTACCTGTGATTGTGACCTTAGGTGGAAATAGGGTCTTACTTAACTTTATTAACTTTATTATTTAACTTAATTTAAGTTAAAGATCTCAAGAGGAGATTATCCTGAATTTAGGATGGGCCCTAAATCCAGTGACTGGTGTCTTTATAAGAGAAAGGAGAGGGAAATTTGAAATACACCAAGGAGTCCATGTGAAGACGTAGGCGGAGACTGGAGTCATCCCTCGGAAGACACAGCCCCCACCATGGTCACAAGCCAAGGAACAACTGGAGCCACCAGAAGCTAGAAGAAGTAGCAAGGATTCTTCCTTGGAGCCTGCAGAGTACACATGCCCTATAGATTTAGGACTTCCAGCTTCCAGAACCATGAGAACATGTTGTTGCTGTTTGAAATCACCAGGTTTGTGGAGATTTGTTGTGGCCACCCCAGGAAATGAATACAGGTGTCGTGGAGTTTCGATAAAAACACATTAACCTCAGCTCGTGAGTTGTGACAACGTGCTCTAGTAATAGAAGAGGTTAGCAAGACGGGACACTGGGGACTGGCTATATGGGGGCTCTGTGCTGTTTGTGCAGCCTCTCTATATATCTAAAACTATTCGAAAAATTTAGAAGTTTATTTTAAAAAACGGCATCAACACAAGTGCAAGGTGACTTATAATTCAGCCTGTGGGCGGCTCTGATCCAGATGAGGCATATCCCAGCAGGCAGCCCACCCAGCGCTGCGAGGTGACCCTGGGCATTTCTTCCTTTTCCACAGCTTCTCCCCATGGCCCTGCTGTCACCTCTGCCGCCCCCCTCCCCATAGGTCTGGCTCATGGCTCTGGCTGAAGATGAATTAGGCCTGCCCTCTTTACAGCCACGTAAAGAACATCGTCTGCTTGGAATTACTTTTGACTCCGAATCAGTGAGCGCTGAGTTTGGACGGGACCTTCAAGATCACTTGGAGGGTGTCTGCCCTCCCAACTTTCCTGAGAACTTTAACACCCCCTGCATGGATGGTCTCTGTCACCATGATTTTATGTTCACATCATGAGACTCCACCCCCATGACCGCCTCTGATTGACCAAGGACTGAACACCTGACTCAGGGGAAGTCAAACCCATAGTCTTGCCAATGGCCCTTCAGATTCTCGGGAAAGAATTTAAACTAAAAAAAATCTAGA